AATTATAAATTCTTGCAGAAAGCTAGGATGAAGAAGCAGCAAAGGCCTCTTGTTCCTTATTTCACCATCATATCAAGTAGGATATTTTGTAATATTACAAGAAGGATATGCATTACTGCTGGCTGAAACAGGCAGACACAGCTGGCATGACTGTAAAGTATCTGTCTACTCCGCAGCATCACCAAACCTTCTCAACTTCATCACTACATTCAGGAGACTGTAACTTCCTCCTACTTCTAGTAGATTATCTGGGGAGAAGAGCAGGATTTTTTTCAGTACCCTGTCCATTTTAAAAGCTGTTGTCATTTCATGCTACTTGTGCTTACAGTCTCTGCTGCAACCAAAATTATTTGTTATGCCAATTTCAGCCCAGCGGAAGACATGACAGGGCCAGAAAAGAAAGCACAGCACTATATTAAACTTAAAATAAAAAATGATAAAAACAGACCTACTGGATTCTGAATTTCAGTGTTCAGTTAAAACCAAAAAACCCATCCAAACAAACACATTAAGTTTCATCCATGTGTAAAACTTCCAAGTCATTAGAACCCACTTTGAGACATCGGTGAGTAAAATTAAAACTCATGGCTAACAACAATTATAATTTGCCATGGTCTTATAAAATGTGAGAACTTACATGCCAATTTTACTTTACATCACTCACATGCAAAGTTAAAAGATCAGAATTTACAAGTGAAGCCCCAATACCTCGGCTGCAAATCAGCCAAATCTACCCATTCTAAATCATAACATTAAATTCTGGTTTACTGTTTCAAAAAAAACCCCACACAACACAACAAAACCAACAGCTGGGCAACTCTCTTGCAGCCTCTATAAAACTTTCCAAGTGTTTTTGAAAAACAGTTTTTGAATGCCTATGAATTTGCTAAGTGCTTAAGCTTCTCGTGACTCAAGTATTCACAATAACACAATCAGATGAATTCCTTTTTAAATACTATCCACACCATTTGCACTCATTCAACCCACCCTCCAATCAAAGCAGGAGCCTACTATCAAGTTATCTCCTGACAGCAATGCATCTACCACATCTTAAAAGCATGTATAAATAGTCTGTATGGATACAATAATATTATTCAAAATTCTAGCATTTTGTGAATTTCATTGGAGATAGTTGGTTAATGACATTAAGAAACTGCTACTACTGTTTATAATATGATAAATCTATTCCCATTTGATGTTTTTCAGATCCACTGTGCTTAATTTGCAAAATAAAATATTTTTCTTCTAGCTTACAACGAACTAGCAGTCAAATTAAATAATGCTCTCGAAATACTCTGTTGGGACTTCATTAGCAGTACTGTTGATGTCCTTTAAATCAAAATAAGAATCCAAAACTCTGAAATATCTCTGCAGAACAAATATAGTCAAAGAGTAAAGAACAGCATGAGCCTCTACAAGTCAGTAAGAAACACTATTTCAAATCATATAGATGTGCACAATTAGAAGTCTATTACTTTAGTGACTCTAAGTACACTTTAAAAGGCATAACAGAAGATATAGCAGACCATTCTTCTTTTCTCTTTGCACAGGAAAGAACACTTAATATTAAAAGACCACTACATGTTTTAGATGCCTTAATTCAGGTAAGGTGCTGAACACCCTTGAAGAGATGTAGCCACTTTACTGTCACATTCTTCACATTAGTTGTTCCATCCTCTCCACAAGTAACGTGCAAAGAGGTAACTTCATCCTTTGAACAAATTTCCCACACATTTAAGAACTGTGGTTTTACATCTCTGTTCTAAGGCTAACTTAGGATATAAACTAATAACGTTCTAAAAAACATTAATTCCATCTAGCAGAGACAGATGTCTTTAATAGAAAGGAACAACAACTTCTGAATTTTGTATTAAAGAATACTTCACAAATTTAAAACAGCAAAGGAAGCCAGAAAAGTGAACTCTTCTGTTGCCCTAGGGGAAAAAGAGGGTTGGTAGTTTAACTGACTGGGTCTTTGTTTATTTTTGTATCAGGTTTTGGGGTTAAGGGTTTGGTTTTGAGATTTCAGAAGGAAGCAGTAGTGACAAGTAGCATATTTGGCTATGACTACATCAAAGTTACAGGATTTTGATACATTCCTTCTCAGCCTTCTGTTCAAGGCATTTCCTTTGTTCTGCAGGTAAGGAAACCATGCTATGCCTTCAGCAGCAAAATTTATGTCTGATTTCCCAATGAGATGTGTTGCCATCACAAGCCTAAAAGGAGGAGATTAATTTGACAGGGAGAACGATCTGTGATTTATTTATTTTTTCTTTTTCTACAGGCAACTCACAATAGAACCCAGGTTCAAATCTTTCCTCTTAAAGTGACTCTTCTACCCATAAGGAAATTTGCTATGCAAGTTCTATGGACTAAATAATAAAACAGCTTGTGTGAATAAAAAATTAACTATAGAAAGGTACAAAGGACAGAACTGGATTCAAATCAATTATTTCCCTGTACCATATTCATAGTTTTCAAGTACACAAAGTACAGTAGATTATGAAAATGTAAGGTTTGCATCATTGCTCTAAGTCAGTGAGATGGCAATACAACAAGCTTTGAAATTTAGCTGAAGGACTTTATTACGGGAACGCTTTCTTCACTTCAAATAAAAGAATAATACCAATGCAATTTTTTAATGAGACAAGTTCAGTAATTAAGACATTTCCTCCTCCCTAAAATCAGTTTTCCAAAACTTACATAATACCTTAAATGCTTATTTCCAAACTGAGGTAATATGAACAAGACCAAAACTTGTGTATGTGTATGGATATGCCTTACAGGTGTACATTTGAATTTAATGGTACTTATGTTAAAACATCCAGCTCTTCACACTGTAAAGAATCTGTTTTCATTTAAAGCCCACAGGTTTTACTAGACTTTTATGAAGAGAATTATCTTTTACAGATTGCATTTTAATTACAATGCATACAGCACCTGACATCAGTCTTCTGATACTTTCAAGTTGTGCTGTCAGCAGCAGCTCTTCATATTTCAAGATCTCAAATTGCACTTCATATAACTGAAGCTGTAGATCATAATAATCAGCTTCTAACTGGTCCAAATGGGCTATGGCTTCTGTACCACCTTTCAGGCTCTGCATCTAAATGGAAAGAGAAAAAAAAAATAACAGAAAAACAAATTACTCCAGTACAAAACAACGCACATCGTGATTACAGTGACACAGTCTGGTACACTAAAAGTAATGTGTTACACTTCAACGCATCAAGAGCAGAAGATAGCTTTTGATCAGGCACATACTTTCAGACTTCTTTAATATCTAACATTTTTTCTATATGGCAATTAAAAAATCCATGGCATTGGATTACTCTTCAAAGTCATACAGTGCATAGTGTGAAACATACCTACCACTCTACTACTTGACTCTCTGAAGATACATAATGAAATTAGTATTTTCTTATATTCAGTCCAAAAAGTCTAACAGTTCTTTTTCTAAGAGCATCTAGAAAACTGCAATTAAAACCATCATTAAATCTGAGCTGACGTGGGAATATATATTGAAATGTGGTGGGAACAGGGATAATTACGTGCACTGATCTTCTTGTAATGACAACCTAACATTGCTTCTGGAGTCCTTCACAGAGGAAAATAAAAAGATTTAGATTGAATTTGTTATATATATATTAGCACTTTTCTGTGTCAAACATGTGACAAATAAATGACAAAAGAAACAATCAATATGACACAATAGGTGCATGGATCAGGTCAGCTAGTTACCAGGGAAGTGCCTGAGAACAGCCAGCTAGGAAGTAGGACTTAGCCATGCAAAAAGATGGTGGGACCATCAGTCCAACTGAAGTGCAGCTATACAATTCCATACAGCATGGGCAACAAACAAAAGGAGCTGGAAGTCACTGTGTACCACAAAAACTATTATATTGTCACCATCACAGAAAGGTGATGGGATGACTCACACAACTGGAATTTTGTAATCAACGGCTACAAGCTCTTTCAGAAGGGATAGGCGAGGAAGGAGGGGTGGTGCAGTCACCCAATACATTAAAGAGTGCTACAAACACCTTGAAGTTAATGCTGTTGACAAAAGTCTTGAATGTTCATGAGTAAGAATCAGGGGGAAGGCCAACAAAGCAGATATCTTCGTGGGAGTCTGTCACAGACTGCCCAGCCAGGAGGAAGAGACGAAGTACTCTACAGACATCCGAGAGAAGTCTCTCAATCACCAGGCCCTTGTCCTTGTTGGAGACTTCAACTTCCCAGATGTCAGCTTCAAACATAATACAGCAAAGGTGGGACAGTTACGGAGGTTCCTGGAGTGCAGAAAGGGTAATTTCCTGACACAACTGGTGATGGAAGGCTACTAAGGAAGGTGCCCTGCTGGACCTGTTTGTCAACAGAGACGGACTTGTGGAGGATGTGATGGTCAGAGACTGCCTTGGTCATAATGACTATGAAGTGATAAAGTTCTCTACTCTTGGAGGAGGAGAGTCAGCAGAACTGACACTTGAGACTTCCAGAGGGACAAACTTTGACCTGTTTCAGAGCTTTGACCTGTTGACAGAGGCCCTTGGGAGGCAGTCCAGAAGGGCAAAGGAGTCCAGGAAGGCTGGACACTCTTCCAAAAGGAAGTCAATGGCACAGGAACAGGCCATCCCCCTGTGCTGAAAGACAAGCTGGCAGGGAAGACTAGCCAGGCTAAATAAAGAGACCTGACTGCTACTCAGGGAAAAAAGGAGAGTTCATGGCCTTTGGAAAAAGAAGCAGGCCACTCAGGATAACTACAAGGAATGTCATGATGCTGTGCAGGGAAAGAATGAGAAGGACCAAAGCCCAACTTGAAATAAACATGGCTGCAGCTGTCAAAGATAACAATAAATGCTTCTATAAATAAATGAACAACAAAAGGAGAACCTCTGTCCTTTTTTGGATGCAGCTGGAAACACAGTGAGCAGGTATGAGGAGAAGGCTGAGGTACTTAATGCCTTCTTTGCCTCAGTCTTTAGTACAAGGTCCAGTTGTTCACTGGATACTCAGTCCCCCGAGATGGAAGACAGGGTGATGAGCAATTTGAAGCCCCCACAATCCAAGAGGAGATGGATGATCTGCTGCAACACTTGGACAAATGGAAGCCTATGGGGCCTGAAAAGACCCACCAATGGGTACCGAGGAAGCTGGTTGAAGCGCTCACCAAGCCATTTTGTATCATTTATGAGCAGCTATGGCTAACTGGGGAGGTCCCAGTAGATTGGAGATTGGCATACATGACCCCCACGTGCAAGCAGGGCCAAAAGGATGACCCAGAGAACTACAGGCTTGTTAGTCTGACCTTGGTGCCAGAGGATGTTATGAAGCAGATCATATTGAGTGCCATTATGCAGCAAGTGCAACAAGGTGATCAGGCCCAGTCAACATGTGTTCATAGAAGACAGGTCCTGCTTAACAAACCTGACCTCCTTCTATGACGAGGTGACCCACTTAGTGGATGAGGGAATGGCTGTGGACATCATTTACCTGAACTTTAGTAAGGCCTTCAACACCATTTCCTACAGCATTCTCCTGCAGAAACTGGCTAAATACAGCTTAGACTGGTACACACTTTGCTAGCGAATGGAGTTAAACCCAGTTGATGGTTGGTCACAAGTGGTGTGCCGCAGGGCTCAGCAAACTCCCTTTAATATCTTCATCAATTATCTGAATGAGAGGATTTAATGCACCCTCAGCAAATTTGTAGATGAGACTAAGCTGGATGGGAGTGTTGATTTGCTTAAGGGTAGGAAGGCTCTGCAGCAGGACATGGACAGGCTGGATGGATGGGCCAAGGTCAACTGTATAAGGTTCAAAAAGGCCAAGTGCCAGGTCCTGCACTTGGGTCACAACAAAACCCCCTGCAATGCTACAGGCTTGGGGAAGAGTGGCTGGAAAGCTGCCCAGAGGAAAAGAACCTGGGGGTGCTAGTGGACAGCTACCTGAATATGAGCCAGCAGTGTGCCCAGGTGGCCAAAGCCAATAGAATCCTGGCTTGTATCAGGAATAGTGTAGCCAAGAAGACTAGAGAAGTGATCATCTCCCTGCACTCGGCACTGGTGGGGCTGCACCTTAAGTACTGTGTTCAGTTCTGGGCGCTGCAGAGAGTCCAGAGAAGGGCAATGAAGACACCAAGGGCCTGGAGCACAAGCCCTATGGAAAGTGTCTGAAGGAACTGGGGAGAAAAAGAGGCTGAGAGGAGATCTTATTGCTCTCCACAACTACATGAAAGGAGGCTGTAGTAAGCTGGGGGCTGGTCTCTTCTCCTAAGTAACACGCAATGGGCGAAGAGGAAACGAGCTCAAATTGTGTCAGGAGAGGTTTAGATTGGGTATCAGAACAAATGTCTTTACTGAAAGGGTAATTAAACACTGGAATATGCTGCCCAGGGAGGTGGTTGAGTACCCATCCCTGAAGGTGTTTAAAAGACGTGTAGATGCGGTGCTTAGGAACACTGTTTAAACATTGAAATTGGTAACATTAATTTAATGGTTGGTCTTGATAATCTCAAAGGTCTTTTCCAACCTAAATCATTTTGTGATTCTGGGATAACAATGGCATGTTTGGAGTGAGTTAGAGCCTATTTTTCAAGACAAAAGGACTGATTATCTTGAATCTTCAAATTTTTGTCCATGTAAGAGGGATAAAGCTCATGAGTCAGGCAGAGTATCCTGGGTTTTGGCATTTTCAAAGGATTTTCTCACTGCAAAAATAATATAGCAACAAAATGTGGAAGGGTTATTTCGGTTTGTTAGTGAACTGTGAAATTCACTCAAACTTCTGCAATTTTTTTTTCTTTAAAATATGTTTCCAAACTTAAGTTCACAGACTTATTAGTATAAAGACTTGATACAGACATAAATGGGCTATCTTCAAAAGTATCAGCTAATTAAGCTATAGCAGCTCAGTACTTCATTCAGCTGCTGCAGCATCTGCCTCATAAAGGCCTTGTCTGACAAGGTTGAGGGAGGTTCTCCTCCCCCTTTACTCCGCACTAGTCAGACCACATATGGAGTACTGCGTCCAGGTCTAGGCTCTCCAGTTCAACAGTAGAGGCATACTAGAGAGAGTCCAACAGAAGGCTACAGGGATGACTAAGAGACTGGAACATCTGCCTTCTGAGGCCTTCTGCCTTCTGAGAGGGGATCTTACTAATTTACAAGTATTGGAAGGGTGGGTGTCAAAAAGAATAGGCCAGTCTCTTTTCAGTGGTGCCCTGTGATAGGACAAGGAGCAACAGACACAAACTGGAACACAGGAAGTTCCACCTCAACAGGATTTAAAACTTTTTTACTTGAGGGTGACAAAGCACTGGAACAGGCTGCCTGGAGGGGTTGTGGAGTCTCCTTCTCCAGAGACATTCAAGACCTGCCTGGATGTATTTCTGTGTGACCCGCCCTAAGTCATCCTGCTTTAGCAGAGGGGTTGGACTCAAATGATCTTCAGAGGTCTTTTCCAACCCCTACTATTCTATGATTCCATGACAACTGAATCTTAGCCCCACAAGCACACATCACAGATGCAGCCAAGTATTCAGTCTGTTTTAGGGGTGCAACAACTATTAGCTTTTCAGGTGTAACAGCAATAGGAAGTTACCATTATCATACGAACCGTATGATCAGGCAGATATCCTAGCCACGTAACAGACACTCATGAAAAAGAGAAGTGGGGACCTTTAATTTAAAACTTTTATTTTACAACTTTGTGAGATACTATATATATGATAATTCAAAATTCTGTAATCATTTTTTGTTAAAAAGTTAACAGTGGTTAAATTCTTAATGTTGCAAGCTGCTCTCTAATCTGTATTACTAAATTGCTGCTTCCTTGGTAGGTCACAGGCTGATTGATGCGGTGAAAGAAACACGAAGAACTCCACTGTGAGAACGGTAAAGGAAAGAAACATTTTGCAGTTGGATGAAGAACTGTAACTGAGGAGATCTGAGTTCAACCTCCTGCTATGCCACAACTTCCTGCATTAACTCAAGCAAGTAATTTAATCTCTCTGGCCCTAATTCAAGTAACACTGTTTATGGTCTTTTTTGCCTCATTCATAGTAAGTGAAGAACTTAAGGAGGAACTTTGGTTTCTCAATGGTTC